TTCTTTCTTTCTTTCTTTCTTTCCAATATATAGTTTTTTTCTTCCCCGGTTTTTATCTAACACTCAACAAATTTCTTTCTTTCTTTCTTTCTTTCTTTCTTTCTTTCTTTCTTATCCTTAAACCGATAACTTTCTATCTCTGTCTCTTTCTTTCTTTTTTTCGTTTTTTCTTTCTTTTTTCCCAGTTTTTTTTATCTTCATTCAATAACTTTCTTTCTTTCTTTCTTTCCTTCTTTCTTTCTTTCTTTCCTTCTTTCTTTCTTTCTTTCTTTCTTTCCAATAAGTTTATTTATGTCTTCCTTCTTTTACTTATCATTTTTCCGTTGTTTATTTAAATTGCCTGTTTCGGTGAACATTTTAAATTTTTGTTCTAAACTGTTTTCACTAAATCCTTTAAAACAAGGCAAAGTGAATAAAAAAGAATGCATATTAATTTTACTTTTACAATTATATTAGAAATCTCTTTTCGTTGCAAATCATGATTGTTTTCATTCCTTCCCTGTTCTCTTTAACCACATCTTTCTCATTCTTTGTTCTTTTCTTTTGATTTCAGGTGAGTAAAATCGACGCAGTTGTTTTCCTAATTTCCCTGCTTTTGTAAGTATCAAGATAGAACACTAATTTATGTATTTTGATATACCTTTTTGTAAACAAAACGAACGAAGTGTATTTAAAAGGAGAAAGAAATATGCAACTGAACGTGAAAGAATGGAAATTAAATTTTGGTATTGGCAATTGATTTTTCCGACGACATTTACTTGAAGGATAATTATTCTCTGGAAATACGACATATCTATACAAAATGAATATCGAATGGAATAGAGTTAGTAAAGGCTTATTCAGTTAAATATCGACTGATTTCAACAGCCGTTCTTTAGAATGAATCTCCGATTTTCTCATAATACATCCACCCACATCAAAACAGATCAGATTAACATATTATTGGAAAACATTGATTGGTTTACTAACATCCAACTTCGTATAACACACACACACACACACACACACACACATATATATATATATATATATATATATATATATATATAGTTTAAAGGTATCCTATATGTAGTGTTAAATATCAGGGATAGAGCATATGGAAATTTGTAATTATAAAAGTGGACATTGAATTCAACACCCAGTGGTGTCAGTTTGTTTCATATTTAAACGCAAACGTAAGGCCCTACATGCATATGGCTTGACAATTACGGTTAAGGATGAAACAGACTGTTGCCTCTGGGTGTTGTCAATGTCCACTTTCATAATTAAAATATCCCTGATATTTACATATATATATATATATATATATATATATATATATATATATATATATGAGAAATAGCTTCATGAAATTCCTTACTGATCATTTTTATAAAATGAAAAACAAAAGAAAACTAAGATCACACACATTTTAAATAGGTTTTTGAAGATTTTCTTTGCAGCGTCATACAAGATGTTCAATTGTTTCTGAATGTTTATCATAAAATATGCATTTGGAGTCAACACTCATTATTATTATTATTATTAGTAGTAGTAGTAGTAGTAGTATTATTAGTAGTAGTAGTATTTCTTTTGATTTCTGTTGTATACACATTTCCTTCCGGGTCCCTAACAGTAACTTAATGTCAGTAATAGCATCGTGACATTTTCCACTGATCATTTTTGTAAAACAAATAATGAATATAATGAATAAAATAAATAACCTAATATCACACTAAGATCACTTATATATATATATATATATATATATATATATATATATATATATATATATATATATATATATGTGTGTGTGTGTGTGTGTGTGTGTAAACTGGATAAATATACATATAGATATGAAACACAGAGTTGTGCTTCGATGTAATAGATTTTGTACATTCCTTAATATATATATATATATATATATATATAGAGAGAGAGAGAGATACTGGGTGTAACAGCAAAATTGTTCAAATTGTATAAAATCAACATTTTCCAATTCTTAGATTAAGATTTGAACCGTTGTATCTTAGAAATGATTAAAGATAACTTACTGCTTTTTATGACACAATTGGACTTTACGTTGAGCAATAAGTATGTATAATTACACTCCAAGTTTAACAGAAGAATCGTGATGCAATCGGTCATAAACGAGAATGACATGATCATGCTTAATTATTCATAGATAAGGATCACAAGCTTATGAAAGATTTAAATAAAGTTCAAATACATATAATATTCCAGGATCATTTTCCAACATATTTAAGATGATCTTCGCCTTCTCTAATCTTCTACCTTTCTGCCTTGGAGTAACAGGTTGTCTCACAGATTTCACGTAGGATTTCATTTTCAAGTCTTTTTTCCACTGCTTTTTGGACTGTCATAGCTGAAATTCTTCTCTCACCTGCCAAATGTCATTTTAATTGAGTTGGTTCTTTTCTAATTGATCTCTTTAGTTCTCAGTTGAAATGATGATTGCTCTTGCTACTATCACCTCCTGATCCAGTTTTCCTCTCTATTCCCCCCTCTTTTTTGAACTTATTCAACGTTCTCTTGACGGCTCTTGAATTGATGACCTTGAAGATGGAAGTCAGGGTATGAACGGTGGTACCATTACTGAAGGCGTGAATAATGTTTTTCCTTACACCATTACTCATTTGAGAAGAGTGGAGCTAACACAAAATGATTTTAACCTGTACTCTTTCTGGCTGAATAACTCAAAGGATTTTTCTGTGATTCTTACGACACATGGTGTCAAGATGGCTAAATTTCTTATCTGTATCGCAATTAGTTTAGAGGTTTTTAGATAGAAGAAGAACCGTTAGATTGATGATCCGAAGTTCTTTAGTATTTTTATCTTTAAAAAAATAGTGCTCGATACACAAGAAGAGCCGAGATTATAATTATTTTTTTTTAAATTATGATTCCATCGCTACACAGGAATTGCCAAAATTCGCTTGAAAATGAAACATAACTATTTACTTTAATTTAATTCCATAATTGAATTGGAAGTTTTCAGCTTCTGTTTTTGAAACATGTAATTGCTGTGTAGCGATGGAATCATATTTTTTTTTTAAATAATTGTATATATATATATATATATATATATATATATATATATATGTGTGTGTGTGTGTGTAGAGAGAGAGAGAGAAGAGAAAAGAGATAGATAGATAGAGAGAGAGAGAGGGGGGATTACATATCTATCTATCTATCTATATATATATATATATATATATATATATATGTGTGTGTGTGTAGAGAGAGATAGATAGATAGATAGATAGAGAGAGGGGGGATTACATATATATATATAGAGAGAGAGAGAGGGGGAGAGAAAGAGAGAGAGAGCGAATACTTCTCTTGATATGGCTCATAGCCGACGCAAGCGGATATGAAAATGGCTGTGAACTATAGTTATGTTAATTCTAATGTTAATATTAGCCGTTTCCCTAAAAGGAAAATAATGGCATTCATTGACCGAGCAGCCGGTACAGTTTGGAAACGGTTGAAATTTATAAAATCTTTCTCTGAAAACAAAATTTCAGGAAAACAGGTTTCTCAAGTGCAGTAGCTGCTACCATTCTTTTCATTGTTAATGGAGTTGTCTTACTAACCTTATATTTGAAGTTGTGTGATGGAATATCAACATCTTCGAGTTACATGTGCCATCCATTTTAGATGTTGCCGCTGTTGGCAGTCCTTAGGTGATGTTGTTTCTTCTACAGTGATGTCTGTAATGTCAGCCAGCAAGAAACTTTCAAAAGAAGGATGTCACTGGCTAATTTTAACAATCTGATGATTGGTTTAGCGGCATTAAACCTATAGGTTTGTGTGGGCTTAGCACGTTCTTAATAAGATCCAAGAAACCTAATATGTACACTGAAAGACACTGATTAGTATATGAAAAATAACGTAAACCAGCGTTTGGGTGAATTATATTAAGACAAAAGGAAAAACTAAATTTGATTTTAAATTAAATTTAAATTTCTTTCCCGTCTCATCTTTCCTGAAAGAATTACTCCTCCCCCAAGACAAAATACACGGCCAAAAATATATTGAATCCATTTCATCATGTTTTTGAAGATGTACAACGCATACTTCTATCAAAAACCATAACATTCTGATCACAATTTAAATAACATTTATTTATTTTAAAAAAATTGTTTAATACTGTACGCTTACTTTTGTCTTATCATATATTGAATTTAAGGCACATAGTTTGTCCTCCACATATTTTGACTGACATTTCAACATCCTGATGAATATTCAGGAATGTTCTTTAAATAAACCAATGGCATCTTTGCTCTAAGCACGTACAACAATATAAACCCTTAGTTTTGCACTGAGAACCCCCCGCAGAGGACGAAATGTCTGCTAAGAATATTTCTTCCTCTTGTCTTTTCATTCATATATATATATATATCTACAGATAGATAGATAGATAATTATGCGCGTTTTGCATTAATTTATCCGACATAGTGTGTTATTGTAATATTTATTGTTTTCCTCAAATTTCTGAAAAATTTGTTGCACATCAGGAATAAAATTAGAGTAACTGTACAAAGTCCATTTTTTATTCTGTTTTCTTTGAGTACGTCCCATTGTCTTGGTTATTATAAAGAATTAAATGTTGTCATTAGAGTAAACGACCGGTTTTTAGATTCTGTTCAATTATGAAACAATCTATTGTCATTCGGTTTTCATTTCTGTGTCCACTTTTCATATATTTACATAGACTTTCATCCTGGTATTCAGCATGGTTACTCAATAAATATAGCATACTTAAAGCTAGATTTTATCATGTCTTATATATATATATATATATATATATATATATATATATATATAATTATTTATTTAAAAATTATAACAAATATTTTTATAAAATCACTACAAAAATAGCCATTTTGTTTCAACACCTCTGGTGTCTTATCAAGTGATCATGTTGAATGTAAAATAATTGGTTTTAAAAGTTTTAAATTAATTAACGATTCTTCGCAAGGGGAAAACGTTGTTACAAAAGCTAGAATGACCAATCAAAACGCAAGTATAGAAAAATCCATAAAGCTTGACAACGAAGTAATTTTATAATAGATATTAAGAGCTTTAAAATAAGGGTAATATTTAAAAAAAAATTTATTCTAACCAATAATTATTAAATTATATGATAAAATTTGATATTAAAATTAAAAGTAAAAATTACCAATTTTGAAATTCAAATTTAATCTCTATTAAGTCTAAAATTATAAAATTACTGAGGAGAAAAGAAAAAATACATATGTTATTCAATTTATTTCTTCATCAAAATTACGTTAGAATGGCGCTCTATGTCTTCCGGTCCTTCGACAAAATGTATACATTTTAATCCCAAGTGTGTGAATGGGGCCCTAACCTCTCGCGTAAAACAAAACAAACACACTCAGATTATAATGCATAAGCACTCATACATATTTAGTTATATACACACACAAAAAAAGTGACGAGACAGGGAACATCTCCACGGCCATTATATATATATATATATATATAAAGAAAAAAAGGAAACAACACATACACACATACACA